TTAGTTGAATGGCCAAACCCATGAGCTGAGGAGCTCTATAAATAGGACATCAGATGAAGAAAGAAGGACCTCCGACTCAACACACAAAATCTATCTCTTTATCCTGTACTTTTCAATTCATAATCTTCTATTGCATTTACATTCATTACAAATATCACAAAAATCCTAAAAATAATCATACAAAGCTCAATCATCCTTGACCTCAAGGAAGAAAAAGAACCTAGGCCAAGAGGAGGTTCCTTGCTTGGCCGATCAATCGTTTGATTAAAAGTCAGAAGCGCAAACACATTCACACGATTTTTCCATCCAAGCCATCAAGTGGCTTGGTGGTGGCACGCCTACGCATCTCAAGAGAAGAAGGACCAAAAACTCCTTCCATCGGCCTACCCGGCCGAAAAGAGGGAAACAGGTTTTAGTTGCGAAACGGCTACAAGATGAGCGAGATACGGTGGCTGATGGCGGCGAAGACGGTTGTGAGACGGCTAGCTGGAAGTGCAGAGCGGCTGACAGGAGATGAGAAAGAGATAGATATAGGAAGAAGAGGGCTGATCTTGTGTTACGCAGCCCACCAATGCCTCTTTATCCGACTACAAAGGCCATCCCCAATGGGGCCCTAAAGGACTCTGCACCACCGTTGGGCTGCAATATATAGCAATCAAAGCACTAAAAAAGTCATCCTTGTGGTTCAGTTTTGAAAGGTTGAGCCCTACCGGAGCTATACCCAGATTTAGGTTCATGGTTGAAGCCTGTGAAACTGAATGGGGCCCGCATGGAGAAAAAACTGTCAACCCATGTGTGTTATTGATGATTTGCCTTGGGACTGCAGCTCCTCATACTCTCATCTTGACCAATGGCTGCTTCCTTTTTCTTTTATTTTTTTATTTAATGTGACCAATGAAAGGGATAGGCTACTAGATAAGGTTTGAGTTTGGGTTTTTTTGACGGATGAGGCTTGGTTTTTAAATTTATTTATTTATTTATAATAGATAAGATTTTCATATTTTGTCCAAATTTTGAATTTTTTGGTTTCATGTTCACAAAAAAAAAACCTAATATATCATAATATACATGAAGGCAAAATAACTTCTTTTTTTTTTTAAATATAAAAAATAACCGTTATATAAATTTATATAGAATATAGAATTCGGGATATAGAGTCTTGCTGTTGTGTGAGTGATGCCTTTAAAGTTCTAAAGATTCCATCAGAGCTCTAAATGAGGCTTTATCAACCTCTTTTAGAGCCTCAACCATTGAGGATGGCCTAACATGTTCAGTCTCAGATATATTAGTTATTAAATAAAACATTACTTTTAAAAGATTAATTGAGAATTGAAAAGATTTTAAAGAAGTTTAAAAGTCCAGGTGTATTCAATCACATTTTTATAGAAGCCTATAAAATTATGGGTGTATTCAATCCAGACTTTTTAAAGTCTATCTAAATTTGGATGTATCCAATCATGACTTTAAAAACTCCATAAAAGTTGGGTTGTATTTAAAAACTCATTGATTTTAAAGTAAATAAAAAGTTGTGGATTTCAATTGATTCTACACTAATTTTAGGCCTTGACAAATCTTTACTTCCCCCAAAAAGATTTTGATAGATATATTATTTTATTCAATTAAAATTTTAATGGATTTTAAAGTAGTTAGTTTCGTGGTGGTGGGGATGGTAGAGACATTAAGAGAGTGGCGGTAATGACCATGTCACATGGCGGCGGCAGCAGTGTTGGTGGTATAGTTGGTGGGGGGTGGTGGCAGTAATGAGTGTAGCAGTGGCGGTTGTGGTCATGGTGATAGTGAGGTGGCGACAGTTGCAGTGGTAGGGGTGTGGTAGTGGTGGTAGCAGCAACGGTGGTGATAGCCATGATAATATAATGGTAGTAGAGGTGGTGAAGTCATATCTTGAAAATTAATCAGTTTGGGTTTTCATGGGTTTTCATTGATTTAGAGATACTAAGTGATTTTTATTGTAGAAATGTTAGTGTTAATTGTTTCGTTCACTTGACACATTGGGTCAACCCGAACTCTATACAATTGTAAATGAGTCTACTCGAACACGACATGATTATAAGCAGATAACATCTATTAATTCAATACGAATACAACCCATTAACATGAATAGCCAACTCTAATGTAAATGATAGCTACGTTTGTTGTTGACATAAGTGACATTGGGAAAAAGAGATTCAAACACATGAACTAAGGTACAAAGTAACTGCTATTGACCACTGGGGCTATAAGCCCCTTGAGTAACTGCTATTGATCACTGGAGCTATAAGCCCCTTGCTTGCGCTATTATTCTATTATTTCAAACTTATTGCGCAGCTCATGTAAAAACCTGATTCCATTAGTAGGTGTACCAAACACAGAAAAGAAATCCCATATCCATTATTCACATGAGCGTCAAAAACAGAAACAAAATACTCCCTTAAATTGATCAAATGGAGAGATGCATTCATGATCTAGCCTCAAGGGCATCCAGTGACAAATGGCCAATACAAATTCATGAGGAGACATCAACATCATCTAGAAAATATGGTTTTAGAAAATTGGTTGTTATATCCACTCCACCCCCAACCAAATGTGGAAACGTCATGAAGCTAAAGCTTCCACCTAAACCATTAAGTACCTGCTACTGCTTCTGAACGTGCTTTGGTAACCACTCAGTTCCACTGATTAGAACTTACAAAATTTTATCAATTTTGGTGATTATTAGTTTTACCCCAATTGCTTATAAGTCATATTTCAAACAACTTCATAAACCATAAACCTGTCTTGAGCTTAATTACTGCTGCAATGGACACCATATCCTGCATTGGTGAAGGATGGAGGCTGTGCACAGCTGCAAGCTTTATAAGCTGCATCATTCTGATATTCTTTCTCAACCACAGCCATGACAGGGTAAACCTATCAACTCTTGGGAACATAGCCATAAAATCAACACTACCGGCCAATGAATCAGATGCGAACATGAAGCTCTTGCAAGTAGCAGACTTGAAGGAACACATGAAACAGATAAATAAAGAAGACAAATGCAATGTATTTGATGGAAAATGGGTTTACGATCCAAAGCAAAGCCCTCTCTACCAAGGAGCTCAGTGTCCATTTCTTAGCGACCAAGTCAGCTGCCAAAGGAATGGAAGGGCAGATTTCATGTATGAGAAATGGAGTTGGGAGGCCAAGGGGTGTAAAATTCCAAGGTGAGCTAATTGATTAATTAACACAAGTATGTGTTAATAATATTGTTACATTTTGCTTTGTTGCATCAAAATATATGTAAACAAGGTTGTTATGGTTGAAGGTTTAATGGAACAGACATGTTAGAGAGACTTAGAGGAAAGAGAGTGATAGTAGTTGGGGACTCTCTCAACAGAAACCAGTGGGAATCTCTAGCTTGTCTACTTTACTCAGCTCTCCCTCCCTCTCAAGCCCAAGTTGATGTGGAAAGTGGCATCTACAAGGTCTTCACAGCAAAGGTCGGTTTCAAAGTGCTTCTAGTTGTAGAATCTTTCTCCTAGTGAACCCCTTTTAACTGTGAGACTCTTGGTTGGTTGGTTCTATATTACTGCAGGAGTATAACTGTTCTGTTGAGTTCTACTGGAGCCCATTTCTAATGCAGCTAGAAATTAACCAAGAGAGTGGTGCTAGAATTCTTAGGCTTGACAGAGTTGCTACCTCAGCCAAGAAGTGGGTCGGGGCAGACGTTATGGTATTCAACACCGGTCACTGGTGGGTGCACCGTGGAAAGATCAAAGCGTAAGTCTTCTTTGTTCTTTTTTTTCTCTACTAAAGAAAATCAATGAATATTTATCATAGAGTTTGTCTAATGGATGTCAGATTTTCAGGTGGGATTTGTTTCAATATGAGGGGAAAACGGTGGAGAATATGGAGATTGAATCAGCATTTGAGAAGGCTATGAATACCTGGGCACATTGGATTGATCAAAATGTGGATGTGACCAAAACCAGAGTCTTCTTCCGGAGCATTTCACCAGAGCACAAGGGAAAGCTTTGGTGCTACAACAAAACTCAACCCATCATGGACGATTCCTATGAAACAACATTTCCAAGAAAAATTATAGAAGCCGTTGAGAGAACAATGCAGTGCATGAAGACCCCGGTGACGTACCTGAACATTACAAAGCTGTCTCAGTATCGAAGAGATGCACACCCAATGATTTACAAGACAAAACAGTGGAAGCAGTTAGCTATGCAACAAAGACGACCAGAGTCCTCTGCTGATTGCAGCCACTGGTGTCTGCCTGGCCTGCCAGATACCTGGAACAGGCTATTGTATGCTTCGTTGCTCTTGGACACTTCCGAAGTCATTCTTAGCTCGT